AGACCCCTGCCCCCAATGCCCTGACTGCCACAGGCTCCAAAGTCATTGCTCAAGGAGCCTTGGTGTCACAGTGGGTCTCACATTGAGCAGCTGACCACAAAGTTGGAGGTACGAACCCAGCAGCTGCTCCTTAGGAGAAAGATGAGGTTGTCTGCTCCTGTCAAGCAGTATAGCCTTGCAAACCCCCAGGGCCAGTTCTGCTGGGTGCTGGAGGGTCACTGTGACTTAGGATCTGCTCGTTAGCTGTGGGTTTGGTTTCCCTCGCTGGAAGAAGCAGGTGGACACAGTCACGTTGGTCTTCCTAGGCACGGGGAGCCCTGGTGGTGCAGTGGTTATGCCTGGGGCACGCACTAAAAGGTCAGCAGTTTGAAACCACTAGCCACTCTTCCCAAGAAAGATGGGGCTCTCTACTCCCGTAAACAGTCACCATGTCAGAAACCCACAGGGGCAGCTCTACCCTGTCGTGTAGGGTCGCTGTGAGTCGGAATCAACTCAGTGGCAGCAAGAGTTTTGCGATTCCTTCATAAATATTCTCTTTCCCTCAGTCCCGTCTTGTGAAGTGGCTTCCCTGTGACAGTCCGCCCACATCACCCGCGTAGTGAGGACCCACTCACCTCCCTGGACTCAAAGCCTGGTGTGGAGGCTCCCACTTCCACAGGGTCCCGGTGCTGCGGCGTCTGAGAGCCGATGTTCTGAGCACTCGATTGGTGGGGGGACTCAGGTAAAGGCGGAGGAGCCAGAAATCCATCTGCGTCTCCGCTAGGTTCCGGTTCCCTGGAGTTCTGACCGTTGACCTCTCACGGCCACGGAGTTTATTCTAGCGAGCAGTGTAAAAACACTTTGCTCTCAGGTGCATGGAGTTTGCTGTGACGCACGTGGCCGGCCAAGCAGGAGTAGGCTCGCCCTCAGGAATGTGCTCAGGTGTGCCCCTGATGGGAACTGAGGCACTAAGAGTCATACTCCTCCAATCAGGGGAGTCGAAGGGCCCTGACCAATTATGTAAACTTTCCTAATCTGCAACAGTGAAGCTCTCCCAAATCTCAGCCCTTTCTTCTGTAGTCCTGCGGGTGACGGTGATACTTCCACCTGCTTCCAACAAGATCTTCTCTTTCCTGTGCCCGAGCAACTGGATCCTGGACCCCATCGTGGC